AATAAACCCTTCATCACGTCCATTATCCAGGTGTCATTTGAGAAGACGAAAATCCTCTCAGCAATCAGAAATGAAGCCTGAGTCTGGAGTGGAGCCCTGACCATGATATCTATTTCTACTGGGGTTCAGAGGTGTTGAAGTGATGAGGGTCCTGCTCACAGGAGAGGCTCCTGTGGGTTCAGTCTCACACCTGCATCAAAAGAGGGAAAACATGTTTCTTATTGAATCTCCAGTGTGTGGGCAGAGGAGAAAAACAGGAAGAAGCCTTAGGGGGTCAATAGTCATCAAAATACAGAGTCTGACATTTTCTTCTTCTTAGACACTATAAGAAAGGATGTAAGAAAGAGGTAATGATCACTAGAGGTGGGATAACCCAAGTCCTTAGAAAACAAGAGGACTGCTGACCTGTAAGCAAGCAATGATAAGATTAAATTCATGATGGGATTAGAGGGAGGTTTAGCCCAAAAACTTGTGTGCAAGGTGTCCACTGTGTAAGGTCATGGCTTGTTTTGAAGGTCTTGGGTCTGCTATGTGCTCCTACAATGAAGAGAGTCCACCATATCTAGAACCTTCATTGTAAATGGCTCTATTGAAGTCCAGAGCTGAAAAATTGATGTAAAAGAAATGTGCTGCTGGATAAGAGTTTTCAGTTTCCCTTGGACTGCAAGGAGATCAGACCAGTCAATTCAAAAGGAAATCAACCGTAATATTTATTGGAAGGACTGATGCTGACGCTGAAGCTCCCATACATTGGCCACCTGATGCAAAGAGCTGAGACATTGAGAAAGACTCCAATGCTGGGAAAGATTTAAGGCAAAATGAGAAGGGGAAGACAGAGAATGTTGCGGTCAGATAGCAACACTGGAGATACTGGTGCATGGTGGAGCTTGGCGTGATGCAGGCAACGGGTCTCAAGGAGTCAGCCATGACTGAGCACATTTATCAATGTCTTATTATTTCTTTGTATGAGTTCTTATGCAAAAGTGTGCAACAATGTTTTGACATACTTAATTTTAAATATAAATATTTTCCACAGACTTCCTTGTAATGAAGGAACATTTCACATTAAAATATTGTGGTGTGAGGACACATCTTCACACAGTGAACTCACAGACTGAACTCACACACTGAACTCACAGACCCTTGTTCGGACACAACACATCTGTGCACCGAAGAGGTCCATGAACCTAGGACCTGTTATATTTCCTTCTGTGGGAACATGAACTTATATGTGTCTCCTAACTCCACCAGCTCATGGTGTCCAGGTCAGATGTGGGGGCATCTCTGCAAATGCAGGCCCTGATGCCCCTTGGTGAATAGCAACAGTCTCACCTGCTCCAGGTGTTGGATGCCACACCTTCCCTCCCCTGCCCCACAGCATCAGCTCACTTTGCAGGTCCAGACCAGAGAGTCTAGATGTGTCCTGTGATTCTTGCTCTTCCTGCTTTGGTTGAAGGTCTTATTACCTACACACAGGCAGGGCAGGTTCTTTCTGATTTAATTTACTCACTCATATGATTGAAAAGATAGAAGTTGTGTCTGAGGAGGCCTTACAAATAGCTGAGAAAAGAAAACAAGTGAAAGGCCAAGGAGAAAAGGAATGATATACCCATCTGATAGTAGAGTTTCAAAGAAGAGGAAGAAGAGATAAGAAAGACTTCTTAAGTGAACAATGCAAAAGAATAGAGAAAAACAACAGAATGGGAAAGACTAGAGATCTCTTCAAGGAAATTAGAGATACCAAGGCAACACTTCATGCAAAGATGGGCACAATAAAGGACAGAAATGGTAGGGACCTAACAGAAGCAGAAGATATTAAGAAGAGGTGGCAAGAATACACAGAAGAGCTATACAAAGAAGATCTTCATGGTACTGATAACCAGGATGGTGTGATCACTCAACTAGAGTCAGATATCCTGGATTGTGAAGTCTACTGGGCCTTACGACATATGACTATGAACAAAGCTAGTGGAGGTGATGGTATTCCAACTGGGCTATTTCAAATCCTAAAAGGTGATGCGGTGGAAGTGCTGCACTCAATATGCCAGCAAATTTGGAAAACTCAGCAATGGCCACAGGACTGGAAAAGTTCAGCTTTCATTCCAACCCCGAAGAAGGGCAACACCAAAGAATGGTAAACCACTGGACAACTGCACTCACATTACAAGCTAGCAAGGCCATGATCAAAATCCTGCAAGCTAGGCTTCAACAGCACATGAACTGAGAAGTTCTAGATGTATAATCTGGATTTAGAAAAGGTAATGGAACCAGAGATCAGATTGCCGACAACCTTTGGATCATAGAAAGAGAAAAAGAATTTCTTAAAAATCTACTAATGCTTCATGACTATGCTAAAGCCTTTGACTGTGTGGATCACAACAAAGCATGGAAAATTATTAAAGAGATGGCAATACCAGACCACATTACCTGCCTCCTGAAAAAAGTGTATGCACTTCAAGAGCAATAGTTAGAACAGATCATGGAAGAAGAGACTGGATCAAGAATAGGAAAGGAATGAATCAAGGCTCTCTATCGTCACCGTGTTTATTTAACTTACATGCAGTGTACATCACACAAATGCTGAGCTGTAGGAATCACACGGCGAAATCAAGATTTCCAGTAGAAATATCAATAACCTCAGATATGCAAATGACACCACTCTTATGGCAGAAGCCGAAGAGGAACTAAAGAGCCTCTTGATAAAGGTGAAAGAGGAGAGTGAAAAGGCTGGCTTAAAGTTCAGCCTTCAAATTATTAAGATCATGGCATGAAGACCCATGACTTCATGACATATATAGGGAAACAGTGGAATCAGTGAAAGTCTTTATTTTCTTGGAGTCCAGAATCACTGTGGATGATGACTGAAGCCATGAAACTAAAAGACACTTACTGCTGGGAGAAAAGCTCTAACAATCCTAGACAGTGTATTAAAAAGCAGAGACATGACTTTGTCAGCTAAAGTCCATATAGTCAAAGTCTTGGTTTGTCCGTTAGTCATGTAAGGATGTGAGAGTTGGACCATAAAGAAGGCTGGGAGCTGAAGAACTGATGCTTTTGAACTGTGGGACTCTTGAGAGTCCCTGAGACTGCAAGGAGATCAAACCAGTCCATCCTAAAGGAGATCAGTCTGAATATTCATTGGAAGGACTGATGCTGAAGCTGAAGTTCCAATACTGTGACCACTTGATGGGAAGAGCCAATTCATGGGAAAAGACGCTGATGCTGGGACAGATAGAAGGCCGAAGGAGAAGGAGATGACAGAATGAGATGGTTGGATGGCATCAGTTTGAACAAGCTCTGGGAGATGGTGAAGGACAGGGAACTGCAGTCCATGGGGTCACAAAGAGTCAGACATGACTGAGTGACTGAACAGCAACAACAACCAATATTATGGAAAAGACAGAAGCAATATGGTCCGTTTAGGACTCTCCTCATGTAACGGGATGGAGGAAAGGGCTTTTCATAGAAAGCAGTTTCCACTTCAGCTGAAACACAGCTGAGATCCCTGGGCTGAGGGAGAGCTGACCTGCCCCAAAGCTGCAGTGTTGACATCTCAGGAAGGAGAGGGCCAGGGTCACATGGACAGGGTGTCAGTCAGAGATGGGGACCCACACCGGTCTTTTCTGCCTCCAGGAGAGATAACACCACTGATGGCAGCACTCACCACCCCCAGAAAGCCCACCTAAAGTCCAGACGCACGGTGACGGCCGTCATCCCCAGTCTCCATGCTCACAGCCGGGATGCAGGCGCGAGGCCGCAGCCTCAGGGCCACAGGGAGACGGGGGAGCTGTGCTCTGCTCTCCAGCACTGCTGACTCAGAGGACCTCAGGCTCAGTCCAGGACACGGAGCCCCTGGGCTCGGGAAAGCTGCTCTCAGTGGGGTTTTCAAGGGAACCTGCTTCCTGAGGAGGGGCTTTCCTCTGACCATGCCGCCCTCACACTGCACGCCGTTCACTGTGAAGGTTTACCTCCACGAACCATGCGTGTCCTCTCACCACTGTGGTGGGGACTATGTTTCCTGAGCTCCCATCTCACGGCCGGGACACAGAGAGGAAGAAATAAGCACTTGGAGGAGGAGGGAGTCTGTGCAGAGTGACCAGGACACCTGCCCAGCACGTCAGAGCACTAGGAGCTCCCGGGCGCTGTCTGACCTCAGTCTGCAGTAGCCTTGGGGCCCTCAGTGTCCACACTCAGGCTGGGGGTCCTGAGGTTCACAGGCTCCTGCAGACACTCAGTTGCGGACAGGATACTGTGGGACAGCCCACTGGGCAAGTCAGCCAAGCTGGGAAGACGAGCATCTCAGCAGAAACGTCTACTTTGTCCACAGAATTAATGCTGTGTGTAATTACTGTGAATAAACCATCTCTAGAGTGATTCTTGAGGGTATTTAAACTGTTCCAGATGAAAAAATAGTCATAAAAAGTAAGGGAAATATAAATGCTTTGGGAATTCTGATAAACATTAAGTTGGACCCAACTCCATTTGAATTCAATGTGATTATTACTTGTATATTTTGTCTCTTATCTTTGAATACGGAGTAAGTAAACATAAGCTAATCAGAAAAGAAAACAAACAAGAGTTTGTGTCTGACACCTGGGTGGTCCCCGAATGTGTGGAGGGCTTCTGTTGAGTGAAGGTAAACACCTCCATGGGGTTAAAGTCTCTTCCCAAAATCTGTCATTGTTGCCTGACAGCATCATTTTTCCTGAACAGACCTCCCTCATCATTCCATTCGTCGATAAACAGCCTTCCTGGTAGGGGGAGGGGGACCACAGGAGGGGCTGAGTTCTCTGATTGAACAGTCAGCGTCCTCCTCACGGGGCGAGGTCCATAGACTGAACCTCCTTTCACTACCTTCTGCTTTTTATGCAGAGGCCCCTCCCACATGCAAAGATCCGCTCAGGTCACAGGGTGGAAACACAGCACCAGGTCACTTAAATTCAGGCTGCTCCTCAGGCTTGAAGAGATTTCCGGGAGCGGTGACTCTCATCTGCTCGAAGATGAGCCCACTGTGGACCTTCGTCTTCCTGCTGTCAGCTCCCAGCGGTGAGTGTCTCTGGATCAGACATGGGCACGTGGGGAAGCTGCATCTGAGCCCGTGAGTCACCGTGCTTCTCTCTGTCCACAGGCGTCCTGTCCCAGGTGCAGCTGCAGGAGTCGGGACCCAGCCTGGTGAAGCCCTCACAGACCCTCTCCCTCACCTGCGCTGTCTCTGGAATCTCATTAAGCAGCAATAGTGTAGCCTGGATCCGCCAGGCTCCAGGGAAGGCGCTGGAGTGGGTTGGTGGAATCAGTAGTGGTGGAAGCACAGGCTATAACCCAGCCCTGAAATCCAGGCTCAGCATCACCAGGGACACCTCCAGGAGCCAAGTCTCCCTCTCACTGAGCAGCGTGACACCTGAGGACACGGCCCTGTATTACTGTGCAAGAGACACAGTGAGGGGAAGTCAGAGTGAGCCCGGACACAAACCTCGCTGCATGGGCGCCCCGGACCACCAGGGGGCGCCCGGGACTCGGGAGAAAGCTGAGCCCCGGAGCCGGGGAGAAGAGGCGTTGGGGGCTGGCCGGCCTGGAGGGGATTCCCTTCAGAACCTGTTCTTTACTGCTCCCGCCCAGCAGCTAAGCCCCAGACCCTCTCATGTGTCCTGAGATTCCATCGCTATGGTTTATGTCACTCTCAGACAACTGTGTGTGTGTGTATGTTTTAATTTCTCCTTGAAGTAAGGATAGCTTTATGCAGACACACACACACAGACACACAGACATAATAGTCAACAGCTAAATTGTTTTCTCCTTCATTGTTCTTCTTTCTAAGGAGCTCAGTAAAACACTTGACTCTGACGTTCATTTCAAAACTGTTACCTACCTGAAGTCCACACCCCATTCTGGGCTTCTGTCTGGATCAGTCATAAGGGGAAATAGAGAGGTGTTCAGGAGGATTTGCCCGTGGGGTCAGCATGGAGCCCACCACCCCCTGTGCTCACTCCCGCCACAATGGCCGTCACTGGTGCAGAGTGAGGAAGCCGCAGCTGTGCTGGGCTCAGCCCTGAGGGAGACCCACGGCCTGAGAGGACGAGCAGCCGAGCTGAGGTGGGAGGGGCAGGGGGCCGTCGGGACGGAGACTCTGGGCTCAGAACGGGGGACCTGCCCTTGGATCTGGTTCCAAGGCCACATGCAGACGTGGAAAGGGGCGGGGAGGAGGGGAACGGCTCCTCTGAAATTACCTCAGGAACCAGTAATAAGATGTGTTGTCCTGCCTTCTGGCTAGCACTGGGTCACCGGGGGCGTGACAATCTCCTCACCGTGGTGCTCTCTGCATTCCAGCCTCTTGGCAGAGCTTTGGAGTCTGAGCCTAAGTGTAAGCGCCCTGTTGTGCCCTTCGCCCCTGTCTCTCGTGTTAGTCAAGGCTGTCCAGGCTCCTCTCACGCGCAGTGACATCCGATTTCTCCTTCTACTCACAACTCAAGGACAGCCTCAGCTGGTACCTGCTGGTTTTTGCATCAAGAGGTAGTGTGTGTGAAACCTGTCATGTCCATCCTTAAAGCAAGGGAATTCTCAACACCAGAACTTTCCCTGGACCGAACACAATCCTGACATTTCAAGGGAATCTCCCAAAACAAAACCAGAGAGGTGGGCAATCCACAGTCCAGGTGGGACCGGCCCACGGATGTGAAGCTTCAGGAGGCACACCTTCAGGGTAATTCCTACCAGTTCCTGCAGGACCAGCAATAACCACTGTGAGGATGAGAGATCCAGGGGTCACACTCCATGGCTTTTGGGATATAACTCCAGAAACATCCAGGTCCTCAAGGTGAGTGTTCATATTTAACCCTTCAGGACACCTGATGGACGAGGGGAAGGCCAATGCTGAGAAATGCTAACACCTACCCAGAAGGTGCATCAGGCAGACCCTCCAGGGAAGAGCTCTTCCCCCAGCTTCTCCTAGGAGGTGAACAGAAGTTCTTGTCTACTGCAGGCCTACAGAGGGGGCAGACCTCACAGCTAGGAGAAGGGACTGGACCGGTGCAGTGCAGGCCGGGAGGAGGTAAGCGGGGATGGGCCAATACTGGAGACCCTGGAGATGCTCACAGCCCAGACTCACCTCCCTTGAGTCGTGGGTGTTCAACCTCAACAATGCAGGAAGCCCCTACCCACATGTGACCCCCAGGGACCTGGCAGAGCTATGATGTGCAGCCTCTTTGAGGAGGGGAGCTAGTGTGCAGAGACCACAGCCAAACAACATCCAAGGCAGGGCACTGAGGCTCTGGTACCCATGGCTAGAGACCAGGCTTGGAGCACCTCACTGCTGGCCTCAGACACCCTCTCTCTCCTGCCTGATCAACTTGGTCAAAATCCCTCTCCTGTTCTTGGGTATCTGACATGCTCAGGAATATTTATGAAGTTTCCATCAGAGACTCAGAACAGGGGGAAGAAGCGGGTTTGTCACAGGGTCCTGCTGGAGGAGATGTATCTGACTCAGCAGCGGGTCTGTCTCCCCACTGATGCCAGGTCCTGAGGTCCTTGGGCAGGTGGTCAGGATGGATGGTGAGAAGCAGGATGGAGTCTGAGGATGGATGCACCCCGAGGCCGTCCTGGTGAAGAGATGTCCTGCCAGGGGACATGCACACTGCTGACCTAGCTTCTCTGCAGGGTGCTGTTGTGGCAACCCACTCCAGTGTTCCTGCCTGGAGAATCCCATGGACAGAGGAGTCTGGTGGGCTACAGTCCGTGGGGTCTCAAAGGGTCAGACACGACTGAGGTGCCTGAGCATGCTCAACGCCCCCCGTCCCCCGGGTGAGCATTCCCTCAGGGCAGCATCTCCTGAGTCAGCTGACAAGGGCGCTGCCTCATCCTCCTCTGACTTCAGGTGTCTCCTCTCTCACAGGTGTGGGCACTAGAGACCCTCAGGCGTTTGTGCTGTGAGTTGTCAGGGGGCAACTGCACTAGTTTCTGACATGGGGGCTAGTCCGGCACCTTCTTATGGGGCCCCTGCAGGGTCCAGGTGCTGCAAGAACAGGGGAACCCAGGGGTTGAACGGTAGGTGGAGTGGGCATCAAGCCCCATGCTTCTGCGTGCAGCTATCGTGTGGCACAACGTTAGCCCCCGGGGGGTCCAGGAGGTGAAGGGACCCCAAGTCCTCGAGAGCCTCCGGACTCACTGTGAGTGTCAGCTGCCTCAGTGCAGCTGCAGCCCCAGGGAGGCGACGTCCAGGTGTTCTCATAAGTTTCTTCCTTGGGTCTCTCTCCAGAGAGTGTGCATTGATAGAGGCTATTTCTAGAGATGATTAAAAGATCATGCTGTCTCTAGAAGAATACTCTGACGGTAGATCACAGCCATTTCCTACCAGGCTAGAAACACTGCTAGGACTGCCTGTGAGCCCAGGCAGGGGGTGCCCAGGATCCCAGCGCAGGGCTGCTGCCCAGGAGCATGTGGGGAGGGGGCTGGGGAGACTCAGAGACGGAGTCTTCTCTTTTCACGGAAAACAATAGCTAGCAGGACGAGGACTGGTGACGTTTAATATTGGGTCCTGATGAGAATACACAGCTCAGCGAGGCCACGGGAAGTATGTGTGTGTATGTGTGTGTGTGTGTGTGAGTGTATGTGAGTGTGCATGTGATGTGTGGGTGTGTATGTGTGTGTGTGAGTGTGCATGTGATGTGTGGGTGTGTATGTGTGTGTGTGAGTGTGCATGTGAGTGTGTGTGTAAGCATGAGTGTGTGTATCCGTGCATCTGAGTGTGTGAATGTGTCTGATTGGGTTTGTGTGTGTATGTGTGAGTGTGAAAGTGTGTGTGTGTCTGTATGTCTGTGTGACAGGTGACTGTGTGTGTGTGTGTGTGCGTGTGAGTACCCAGTGGTGGCAGAGTTTGGGGAACACACGGATTAGAGGTGAAGATGTCTCTGTGACATTAAAGGCTGGTTCACGGTGAGGACTGTGTCCTGTGCGGCTGGTCCCTCACTGCAAGAGCTCTGAGTGCACAGGGGTCAGGGCCATGGCAGGGACACACGTCCTCAAACAAGGGTGAGGACGCGGACACACAAATTCCCACTGAGCGTGGTCATGGGTCATAGGACTACTCCTTCCTAATATTGCCCGTGCAGTGAGTGTAAAGTTTTCAGCCTCTAGAACATGCAGATGACCTGAGGTGTCCTAGGTTAAAGTGGGATATTCTGAGCCCTGAGAACATCACCCACAACAACACCGACTCTGCACAGCAGTCCTGGGAGCACAGCCCTCACCAGGGACGGGAGCTGGAGAGTCCTCCTCCTGGGGCCTTGGCTCCAGGTCAGGGTCATCCCGGTCTGGGGTGGAGGAAGGGACAGGGTCCAGTCAGGGGGTTCATGCCCCTCTGACCCCGGTCCACGGCTGTGCACACCCAGGTGCAGCTGGTGCGGTCGGGGCTGAGCCGAGGAAGCCCGGGGCATCAGTGAGGGTGTCCTGCACGGCTTCCGGATCCCCCTTCAGCGCCCACGACACGCACTGGGTGTGACAGGCCCCTCAGCACGGGCTTGAGTGGGTGGACGGATTGACCCCGAGGCTGGTGGACAAAGAATGCACAGAAGTTCCAGGGCAGAGTCACGCTGGCTGCAGACACGTCCGCCAGCACCGCCTGCGTGGAGCTGAGCAGTCTGAGGTCTGAGGGCCCGGCTGTTTATTGCTGTCTGAGACACACAGTGTGAACACACACATCCTGAGGGTGTCAGAAGCCCTGAGGGGCAGGGCGGCTGTGCTGGGGCTGATGACGACAGGGCCGATTGGGTTGGGGCCCTGAGAAAGGTGGGTGCAAACATGCGCTCACTGTCTCAGGAGTGTGTTCACGGTCAGAAGATTGTGCTCACTGTCGAAGAAGCAGTGTCTCCACTCTCAGGACTGTGTTCTGTCGGAGGAGTGTGTTCCCTCTCAGAGGAGTGTGTTCACTACTAAGACGTCTGCAGGTGGTTGAGCCTTTTGCCGCCCCGCCCAGGAGTGAACACCGTTTTGCTCTGTCTTTGCCAGGACCTGGTATGCTGTGTTCTGGGTTCCAGCCATTCTAACTGTGCAGTGGTACCTCGTGGTCATTGAATCATGCAGTCCCTGATGGCTTGGGATGTGGAAGGTCTTTCCAAGTGCTCATGTGTCAGCTGTCCATCTTTGCGGGGAAGTTCACAATTCACTCATTTTTCACTGGGTTGCTTACCTTCTGTTGTTCAGTTATGAGTGTCCACGTGCATTCATAGCACAAAGTTCTTCCCAAATATGCTATTTATAAATGTATCTTTCAGCCTGTGGCTAGCCATTAGACTCCTTTACCAGGGAGTTCAGAAAACAAGTGTTTTTCATTGTGATGCTTTCCAATTTATCTGTTTTTCCCCCATGGATCATGCTTTTGGTCTAAAACTTGTTGGTCTAAAAACTTGTTGGCAAATTTAAGGGCACCCAGCAGTTTTCCAAGTGCAGCCCGGCCCC